CCCCCCCCCCAAAAAAAAATTGGATGCTTGCATTAAGGAATGCAAAAGAAAAAAGAGGGATTTTCCTCTTTTGCAGCAACTCAGGTTGTGCGTTTGTGTGTGCACCCTTGGTGTTTCTTCCCAAAGGCGGTCCAAGCTCAGCCAGCCACATTTCCTTCCCGCTCCCACCTAGGAGAGTGGGGGGAGGCGCTGCCCCCCACCCCCAACATCGGATGTGACGGAGGGCAGAGAGGCCAACCCAGCGCAAACCGCAAACCGCCGGAACGTTTGGCCTCGAGGGGAAGGCTGCTTTCTGCACACAAAGACCCACACAAGCAGAGAGAGGGAAGCAGGGGTGGTGTGAAACACACCACACCCTCAGCAGAGAGGAAGGGGGGGCAGCTGTGCAGAAGCCACAAGGAGTCCCGGGGACGCAGGAAGCGAAAAGGATGTGGTCAACAAACACACATTTGCGGCAACATTTGAAGGGGGGGGGGCGGAAAAACCCACAACGGACTCCCCCCCCCCGTTTCCTGGCAATTAGCAATGAACCAAGGCGGCTTGGTTAAGTCCCCCAAAAAACAACACACACACAAACACACCCCCTCCCAACGATTGCACCATCTGCCACAGAGAGAGAGAGCGAGGGAAGGACAGAGAGGAAGGGAGGGATAGAGAGAGGGAGAGACAGAGAGAGGGAGGGACAGAGGGAGGGAGGGACAGACAAAGAGGGAGGGAGAGACAGAGAGAGGGGTGGTGGGAGAGGGAGAGAGTGGAAGGGGGAGAGTGGGAGGGGGAGAGAGGGTGGAGACGGAGGGAGGGTGAGAGCGGAGGAGGGAGACAGATAGAGAGGGAGGAAGAGAGGGAGGGAGAGAGACAGAGAGAGAGGGATGGAAGGAGGGGGAGAGAGAATGGGAGGGAGATAGAGAGGGAGGGGAGAGAGGGAGGGAGAGGAGGAATGGAGGGAGGGACAGAGAATGAGGTAGAGAGAGACAGAGAGAGGGAGGGAGAGAGTGAGTGAGACACAAAGAGGGAGAGAGAGGGAGGGAGGTAGAGAAAGGGGGATGGAGAGTGACAGAGAAGGAGGGAGAGACAGAGAGAGGGAGGGAGAGAGTGAGTGAGACACA